TTTTTTTAAAGACATTTTTGGTTTCGGTTTTGGCCCGACATTTTTTTTAAATTTTCATTTCGGTGCACCTCTAATTGTAATCCTTACCAACTCTTTCCAAAACAAAAAAACAATGTTTAGGCTGGAATTGCACTTTAATCTAATTTTAAATGTTCTCCATAGAGCTGCAGTAATTTATTAGGTAAAACTATCTACTAGCTATCTAATACTGTAGCTACTTTGCACTGGGCTCAAATGCGCGTAGCTCAAAGCCTGAAGCTCAAAAAGGTATTTTGGAAGCATAATGGGGCTTTTTTTTTCTGTTTTGATTCAGATTTTGCTTTATTTCATTTTTCGGAATTCGGGTCCGAAAGTCAATTCGTTTCGGAATTCGGATAAAATTAGTTAGCGGAAATCCATACGAACTTTCGTTTTCGTTTTGTTAGTTCGTTGCAGCAAAGTGACATTTAATAGGGAAAGAACTTTTTTTGTTCTCAAATGTCACTTTGCTGCAACGAAATTTCGTCCAAAAAACGAAAGTTCGTCCAAACGAATCCTAAATTCGGAATCAGAGATTCGGATTCGTTTGCATTAGTTATATCTGTAATTCAGAATTCGGATACATCCGAATCTCCGAAATTTCGTCCGAAATTCGATTTGGAACTAAACGAATCGCACATGTCAAATGCCTTCATTCCACAGAGAGAGCGTTCAATGGTAAACAACCATATCCTTCTTATAGAAGCTAGCTTTACATTGGCAAAACAAGCCAATGCAAAGGCTAAGGCATACTCAAGGCCTGAATACGCCTGAAAAAAATGCACAAAACTACTCCAAAACCATCTCATGCATGTAGCCTTCTATCTAAAGTTGTGTGTAAAACTAGCAATACCTACACAAAACTTAAAGGAGAACTATGGGGTTAGGGCTTTTCCCCATAGTTCTCCGAAGGGTAACGGGAGGACACAAACTAGCGTCCTCCCGTTACCCAAAGCTCAGTATACCGCGAGCTGCAGCTCGCGGTATACTGAGACGCCGCAGCTGAAATGGATCCCGACAATTATGTCTGGATCCGCCCAGCTGCGTGACTGACAACTGGCTCTGCTTATCTAGAGGCAGAGCCAGCTGTACCTGCCCCCTCTCCGTCCGTTCCGCCAGTCAGCGCTGGAGGATCGGACAGGGGAGGGGGGAATCCAGCCACTCCCCTGTTACGGCTCTCTGCAGTGACAGGATCGAGAAGTGAGCGACCGCTGGTATGTGTTCGCTCACTTCCCGACCTACTGAGCCGACCTGTGACAGTTTCATTGTTAGGGGTTCAAAGCACTTACCTCATAATTCTCCTTTAACAACAAGCTTCTCTTATTTGTGTTGGTTATGTGTTTAGATGAAGCACTGAGATCTTGAGGAATGCTGAATTAAATTTGACTTGCTTATAAAGACCTTACATGAGAATACAGGAATACAGCATAGTAGAGAGGAAAAACATATATACAGATAGAACTTCCTGTGTATCACAGACAAGCATACATAAGCATAGAGACCAACACTGCATCACAGAACCATCTAGTGCCCAAAAGATAATATTGAATCTCTGAATGTCAGTAATACGATCAGTTCATATCAGAATATCAGTAATAAGCTGTTGCATTTCCAACACTCCTTCTCAACAGCACATGTGGTGCTATATGATCTATAGATTCTCTCGAAAGGAAACTGTAACGATCCTTTGGCAATGGCTTGGTGAGTGCATTTGCAGTAATTTCTTCTTATGAGCAATATTGAATGTTGATAATGGCTTGCTCTTGAGTGTCCAGTTTTTATTTTCTTGGAGTGATTTTATTTCTTCTTCTGCTGCCTTCCTCCATTGGTTGGTTTCGCATTTTGGTGATTTTTTTTATGTCGTCCCACGATGTTGGTTCAAGTATACTATGTGTCTTAGCAGTATATGACAGCTTGCAGGGTGGTATTCCCTTTCTCGTCTAAGTGGATCTTCCTATTTCAGGTTGTTCAGCAGAATTTAACATGGAATTTGACTTATCCATTGTGAGTTCCACTTCTGCTTCTGACTCCGGTGCAGCTTCACTTCGCTCAGCCTCCTTTGCTGGTTCGCTGTGCAAATTCACTTCACATCTTCCAGGGATAATTGTTTCTAGTGATGGACTCTCATCGAAATAAACGCCTCGGGTTATTGTCACTTTGTCAGTCTTGGGTTGAGTCTTCTATATCCGTTACTTTGTTCACTATAGCCCACCAGAATACCTTCAATGGAATTGCTTCTCCTTTGGAATATATTGTACACAAAATTGCAAATCACCACACAAACAAGGACACTACACCCCTAGGTATACAGAATACAAAAACAAAATAGAGAAATGGGGCTTTAAAAGTGTCATTTATCAAATGCAAGGAGACCCAGTTCAAAATTACACAAACAAGTCGCTTAATGTATAAAAATATATATATTCTTTATTAAAATACATAATTAACAAAGATGACAGATTAGCGATATCATTAAATGGTACAAAACCTCCCCGGATCACATATAGATGCATACTGTGTATATGGCAATAACGTATTAACATCTCTTTATATAATTGCATAAATAATATATTCATCCATAAATGTTCAGTAGATCTATGATGTGTCCAGTTTTTGACGCGTTTTGCTCAAGGCTTCATCAGGAAAATATGGAGGTGCCTATAATAATCATATGGGTCTAGTAATCAATACATCAATATTTGTACATTTCCAAAATATTATTACAAATGTAAAATTAAGGTTCCACATTACATAAAAAGATTAATCATCAATAAATACCATTAATGGAATCTCTGTCCTACTACAAGCGCCCCTACTGCCGGCGTAGGCCGTTTTGTAGCGAGTTCAGACAGGCTGAAATACGGAAAGGTGTGAACCATACCCATAGAAAACAATTGGATTTGAAAGTTTGTACGTTTTGTAGAGCGTTCATAGAGCGTTGAACGCGCTACAAAACAGAAAGGTGTGAATCAGGCCTTATGGCTTCTGGGTTTCGATGCCCTCGTCGTCTGTGCCATAGGTGGATACATTTCGTGTGTGGATTATGAGCGGCTGTCTTGACTTGT